TGGGATTGGAGAAAACATATTTTTATCTTTTCAACCTCCCTCATTCCCCTCATATATTCTAAATCATGATAGTAAAAAATTTCTGATGAAATTAACATAAATACAGAGATCACAGCTGCTCGTAGATTAGGTGAATGTTACACTCACCTCCTTCCCAGGATGAAACTGGAATTACAATTAAAATATAGAGCAATTAACCTGAATAACCAACCAAAGTCGAGTTGAAAATAAGTCTTATAACAAGGATTTATAGAAGAAACCATATTGAGACTGGTAGGAAGGGTGGAGATGTGAATAGGTGGTGACTGAGATTCCAGAGAGACATCAAAGCTGCAAATGTTCTCCTGAGAAGCATGGGGTCTCAACCCCAAGTGGGATCCTCAGTCTTGAGCATCAGAACTGGGAAAAGACAGCCATAGAACATCTAGCTGTGAAAATCAGCAGAGCTGATTGAATGGAGCACTCTGCACCTCCCTGCAACAGGGAGAGATGGGAGTCTGCTAGATACACAGGTGCCCTATTAAAGGGCCAATGCACAAAATCTCCTTTGCAGCCACTTACCCTGGGATTTGGGGGAGGGAGGGTAGAGCTGACTAGAGTTGTGTGAGAAGAGATTGGGGTTTGTGACTCTGGGGAGAGAGTTGAAGGGATAGCTGTCAGGATTCCTGCACTGAGTTCCTCTCCCAGACTGCAGATACCATCTTTCTTGGGTGGAGAACGCCTCTCCATATGACATCAGCCTGGAGAAATGCAATAGTCCCATACTCTGGACTCCCTGTCACACTACCCTATGGAGCTTGCAAGCTGCTGAGGAGTCAGCTGCGTAGGCCAGTGTGTAGAGGCCTAAGCAGACTCAGGCGGTGTCAGTAAGTGATTTGTGAGGCATTGGGGCTACAGTTACTTCCCCCACTCTCCCGTGAACCTGACTGGTGCCTCCCGTCATGGGATGGATATCCACTAGCTCTACTTGCTGGGCTCCCAGAGGCTGGGCAGACACTTCCAACTGGTAGCTCTGGTTTTCCACTATCTGGGCAGAATCCAGGACAAACTGAGTTGTGTGGCTCTAGGATATGGGGCATTTTTCCTTCACATGCCCTAAAGGTCCAGAGTGCTCCATTCACATGGCCAAATCTTGATCTGTTTGGGCCTGATAAACTCTACTAGCTTCAGTCTAAGAACTCCCAGAGGCAGTCCTCCCCATCCCCACCCTAACCCCACCAACAGAAATATATGCAAACACCCAGCAGGGGGCAGCTAGACTCGGTACACCCTGGGACATTTGCTGAGTGGCCTCAACCCAGCACTGGCACTGAGTTTGAACCTGTATCAATTTGGTGGACACCACTTGCCCCTACTTGGTGACTCACTGAGAACCTACCTCATGCAACTTGAGTACCAGGAGAGGCTCCTTCAGTTACTGAACCTAACTGGCAGCCAACAGGTGGAGGCAGGGGCATCTCGGGGTGCCTTGGGACTTTTCCTGTTCTGCCCTAGGCCTGCTGCTAATAAAAGCCAGCTTTGGTGCACAACTTGGTCCTTCCCATGCACACCCAGATCCAGCAGAGGCAGCTACAAGATGTAGATCTCTTTGTTGATCTAGTTTCTGATTGATAGAAATGTGTACTATAACTGTAGTTGATCTATATAGTATGTTATATATATATGAAAAGTATAATTCTTACAACAGATCAGGAAGCATACATCTATTTTATGTTCTAGAGCTTCCGAATTGTATTTGTTTTGGTTAGGACTCCATTGTCCTTGAATAAAAATGAGTGATTTCTTGACTAGACTGTGATGAAAACCAAATATTTTAAGTTTTTTTCTCTGTTTTCGAGAATCCATTCTGCTATGCTAAATCTCAACTGGTACATAGAGAGGGAACACATGGGTGAGTAAAATTGCCAATTTTCAGAACTGTCTCAGACAAAGGTAGTGTTTTTTGACAGAGACCATAAGAAATCCTCCACGTGTCCATAAGAACTATCACCATATTCCCTTCGATATTTTTCAGAGCTATGTTGCTGATTGATAACCCTTTTTATTGCCCTTACTAGGCTGTCTGGTACACTTAACAACCCAAGTGTTCACATTTCTGTGCCTCATGTTTGGAGTTATACTACTACTTTTTTTTTAGCTTATAAATAACAGAAATTTATTTACCACAGTTATATTGTATACTACTCCTTGTACCTATTAAAGCAAGTTGAATCTGTCACTTATCATCCTTAAGGGAGTATTGTTCCTGACAGCTGTTGCCATAACAGTATATATCTTCCTTGTAGGAAAAAATGTTTTCCTGCATCAAAGTTATGCTACACATGTATGAAGAATTTATAGAACACTAGAGTTCCCTCCAAAAACAGTTGAATGGCAAGGAACAGAAGGTCTGAGTGACCATCCCATAAAAATTTCTATCTGATTCGTATCTTTTACTCTAAACTGAGTTATATTTTTGAATTTTTCAGACAGTATATCCACTGGATATTTATGTTAAGTTTTACAAATAAAAATTTCAAAAATTCACTAGCATATTTTATCCTAATTTATCTTGAAATCTAACTTAGTGGATTTCTGTATGAGTAGATTCATTAACAAGTCCAACAAATGACCTTCATTTTTTAAAAAATATATTATATTGTTTTTTTACAGAGAGGAGGGGAGAGAGATAGAGAGTTAGAAACATCAATGAGAGAGAAACATCGATCAGCTGCCTCCTGCACACCCGCTACTGGGGATGTGCCCGCAACCAAGGTACATGCCCTTGACTGGAATTGAACATCGGACCCTTCAGTCCGCAGGCCGACGCTCTATCCACTGAGCCAAACCGGTTAGGGCAGACCTTCATTTTTTGTGCAAATTTCTAATAATGGAGATCTTGTAAAATTACACATTGCTCTAATTAGTAGCTCTAGAAATACTTGAAAGAATACTTAGGGGATTTTTACATAAAATAATAATTTCACAATATCAGATTGATTGTATTAATACTGCTAGCAATCCTATCTGTCCACAAACTTAATTTCTTTCTCTTCTCTCTCTTCTCTTGCTCTCTCCTTTCTCTCTCTCAACTGGAGGATATTTAAACATTTTCATCTCCCCTCCAACCTCCAGCACTTCTTTGTTATGCTCTTTTTCAGTTGGGGACATTACTTCTTACACTGAGACAACCACCACTATAACTATCCATTCACCTGCATCTATTCCCACATACTCTGACTTCCTTCCTATTACTATGGATGAACTGTTTATGTTTTAATATAAGGGTTGACCCTTTTACCTGGGCAGAAGCCCTCAGTCCACCCCTCCTAAAGTGTATCACTCCAATATTACCCACTGTTTCTCTGGCATCATCAATTTATTTACCTCTATGGGATCATAACCATCAGCTCACACATTTTCAATAATACTTCCTCCCCATCTGAGAAAAACTCTTCCCCTTAATCTAACATTTGCTCTAATTCTTACCCATGTCTCTCCTCTCTCTAAGAGTACAACTCCTCAAATGAGTTGCCTGTGCTCAGATTCTCTAACAGCTCTCTTCCCTCCTCACCTGAAAATACTTCCGTCAAGCTTTACATCTCTACCTCTCCATCGGCACAGCTCTTGTCAACATCACTATCAAACTTCATGTTACTAATGTAAAGGTTTAATTTTCGTTGTCCATCCTGCTTGATGATAGCAGGATGATAAGCAGCTCCTGCCTCACTTTCTTCACTTGGCTTTCAGGAAGCCAGTCTCTGCAGGTTTTCATCCTAATTCCCTGTCTATTTCTTCTCAGCCTCTTTCCTGGTCTCTCACTTTCTCTCCCTGACCTTGAAAGTCAGACTTCTCCAGGGCCAGTTCTTAGAGTACTTTTCTTTTCTGGATTTATTTATTCCTTTGGTGAGTTCATGCATTTCTTATTTTTTCTAATGTTTGAGCTTTAAATACCACCAAATTTATATATCTAGCCTACACCCATTTCTTGAATTCCTGGCTCTTATTTTCAACCTAGAAGCCCCCGTGATCTTTTAAAAATGCAAATTAGCTAATTCCTTTTCCCTGTTCAAATTTTACCCATGGATTCCTATGTCACTCAGAATAAAAGAAAAATACCTCTTATTGGCCTGTAAGACCTCACCTGAGCTGATCTTCCCATTGCCTTTCTGCCTTGTTTTCTTCCGCTCTCCGTCACTCACTCAACTCCAGCCATGCTGGTCTTTCTCGTGTTCTTTAAACTTGGTGAGTGCACTCCAGCCTTAGAGCATTTAAACTGACTGTTCCTCCAGACATCTCTGACTCACTCTCCAGCTCTTGATGTTCTTGCCTTCTGAGTAAGGCCTCCCCTACCACTCTCTTCATCATACCCCTTTCACCACTTCATCATTCATACATCCCATTTTCTTTTTTGTTTTTCTTCACAGCACTTATCACTATCTAACATGCTGCATATTTGCATTTTGGATTTATTGTACATCCTTCTCCACTAGAACATAAGGTCCATGAGGACAGGAATTTGTATCAGTTTTGTTGTTTGCTGCTATATCCCCAGCACACAGCACTTGGCAAATATTCATGTTCAATATATTGGCATTTCTCAAAGTGTGGTGCCCAGACCACCCGCATCACAGTAACTGGGCCCCTTTCAGAACATGTTAGAAATGCCAATTCTCAAAGCCTACCATAGTCCTACTAAACCTGAAACTCTGGGGTAGGGCCCGCCAATCTGTGTTTTACAAGTCCTCCAGGTAATTCTTATTTCTACTAATGTTTGAGGATCAATGTACTAAAAGGTGGAAAGTGGCTAGTGTTTGGATAGGTTCAAGCCTCGGACTGATGAGAGGACTGTGCCCTCTCATCAGTCCGAGGCTTAAACTTGTCCAAACGTTGTAGCCGCTCTCCACACCAAAAATTTCTTGAATTAGGGAAAAAAGGAGAAAATTTCTATTCCTGTGTTAAAATGCCATGCAAATAAATGTAAGAACACTTTGTAGAATTTGTTTCCCTGATATGTCATAATATGCCTAATTTTTTAAAAAAAGTTTTAGTTTATCATTTAGAAAGTGAAAAACATACCTTATCCTATGCCATGAATCCAAATCTATTGAAAAGTGGTAGACTTAGTCATAACTGTATATACAATTAATGTATGGTTTAAGTTTTAGTTGAAAATTATGTTAAAAATTAGTGCCAAGACCTGTGTCCCTATGGTTTAAAAATTTAACAAAGCTGTTAAGAATATCCATACTTCTCTTGGTCTTTCCTATTCTTAGACTTTCAACTCTAATTTTCTTACCTTGAACTGCTCAGTGTCTCTGTCCTCTAGAGCCAATCACATCACACATGAGCCTCTACTCCACATTTGATGCCTGGGATACACTCTCTGCCCTTAAAGAGAGAGGGCAGAAAATGTACTAGTATTTCAGTTGGTGAAATCACACCTATTGTAAGATTATGAAGCAAGCGGATAACTTCCTCCCTTACTGTCTGTGCATGAAGTTGTTACGATCCTCCCCAGGGGAACAAGTGTCTCTGTTAGCCCAGCACAATTCCAGTTTATGCGCGACATCTTGATGTAATTATTAATTGCATCCTTCATTGCCTAAAGTGTCCTAGCTTGAGGTCAAAATATATGGTCACCCTATTCATTTTATATACAAATATATATATATATATATATATATATATTACTTTTAATCTACATATTTACACAGTGTATAATGAAAATTGGAAACCAGGGTTCTAGTTATATTTTATATTCACTAGGAATATTACCTTTGGACAGTTATTCAAAAAGTCTAGATATTAGTTCTTTTAACATTATAATAGGAAGGAGAATTTTAATGTAACATTTGTAAAAATTAATATTAAATATTTTACTAAGATTTCTACTTATTTACATAGTTTCTTATCTGCATTGGATTTCATTTAAACCTATTCTAATTCTAATACTAAATGCTAGTATCGATTTTCATAGATGTCATGTTTGTCATTATGTTTTAACAGGATAATTTCATGATGTTCCTACAGCAGACAGAATAGTGGAAAACGCAATTTCAGATTACTAAGCCTGATTTTTTCCCCTTTACTAAGTCAGCTAATCTTTTCATTTATTTGACATTATAAAGATTTAACCTCAAAATTCATGCCTTTTCAGAGGGCCAATAGATGTGTGCAGAATTATCACTGGGGATGATTAGAATTTCTGGGTCAGTGTCTTCAGACTGGTGAGCCACAGCAGTTTTTTTTTTGGCTTGCATCTGTTTTCAGGCAAAACTAAAAACAAACAAACAAATAAATAAATAAATAAAATATATTGAAGTATAAGTTGAAAATAAAGTAAATATAATAAATACATTTATCTTACCAAGTAAATACACTCATGGACTTAAGTCTTTTTTTCTTTCCTTTAAGAATTCTGATCTTACATGAACGTTAAACTACATTACTATGAACCAAGTTTTGCCTGTGTGTGATTACTCCTCTGCGATAATTTTTAAGCTAATCTGACTTTTAAAATTTTTAATTGCTCTTGCATATAATTTATTGAGAACTTATTGTGGACTGATGTAGCGGGTTCTAGGCTTCACTATCATATATTGTTTTAATAAAAAATACATGTTATTTGAGAGGACTGTCCAATTTGTAAAACAATCTATATTGGATGTTTCAGCAATTACTCAAGTATATGATCAATTGTATAGTTCATCCAGACTATTAGTCTTGGTAACATAGATGCTTATTTGATTGATTCTTATAATTGCCTCAACGCTACTTAGCATAGATAATCATCCTCTTTCTGGCAGTCTGATCATTACAGTCTGTGTTGGCATCCACTCAGCCTGCAAGACCCAGAACAATTCTGTGGAGTTATGCATGTATAACAAAACTGGCTGGCATAAACGCATTGACCTTGGCATGACACCTCGCGTAGGCGGTTTGTATACATAATCATGGCCACAGCCTGCTTGGCTTGTTCAAGGTCATATAACAAGTGTGGGTTTGGTTACCACTTGGAGTCATTCAATTTCTAGTCTGGGGTTGACCTTAAAATAGCCAATCCAACACTTTTTCTTTCTTCAATAAGTGCTTTAAAAGTAGTCTCAATTTTAAAGCATGCATTATTTTTATGAGAAAAAAAATTGTTGCATCAACCTAACGCCATTCTCTTTAATGACTTGCTTTATAACTGGGAGACATGCATTTCTGAGTTATTTTGTTCTGGACCAGAAGGTATGCCTGGTCTGATATCATGGTCCATCTTCACTGAGCGTCAGTTCTACATTATCACTCCATGAAGAATATGTTAAGGCAAAAGAAACATATTCTAGAATAGCATACAAAATCCATACACGATTTTAAAAGTGTGAGCCTTTATAAAGTTGTCTTGTGAGTCTGGGTTCAGGCTAAATAGTCAGATACTTTGGAGCAGAGTTTCTTCTATTTTGGGTACTAATTATGGGTGTTGGTTTTTTTGGTGGAAAAGCTTGAGACTGGCAAATCTCAATGTCAGAGATTTTTTCATTTTATTTAGCAAGTTAGATACTTTTGAAGGCTACATTTACTCCATCAGAAAAAACGACAACAATAATTAAAGTGTTCTATGTTTGCATTGGAACAAGTTTCAATGATCTCTAATCTATTAAAAGTAGGCTTATTCAGCAATTTATAGAAATATGTAAGTTTATTATCAGCTATGCTGTTTGTATTAAAAAAAAACAACACATACACAAGCAAACAAAGAAACTAAAAACCTTTGTACATTCTTACTTTTTTGAACCTCCACCCAACTCTGAACTATCTTTATGCTCCTTATTTTTTTAACTTATGCTGTATACTTTTTAGTTTTTCTTAGGGAATGACTGTGTCATATGCATATATAAAAAAATTTTGAACACAAGTTAATGCCCAGTAAGCTTTTGAGAATGGATACCTTATGAAATAGAACCTTGCGTCCTGATTATTAAGACTCAGGTTTAGTTACTTAAAGGCCCCTGTTTTAATTATTTAAAGGCCCCTGATTATTAAGTCTTACAGGTTTAGTCTTTAAAGGCCCCTGCTTGCTTCAAGTCTGGAATAGATTCTATCTTAAAAAAATGAAGCAGTTTTGAGAGTTTCAGGTGCAGTTTTCGCAACTGCCCTGTGTCTCATGGCGGATCACTCCAAGTTCACTTTATTGATGTGTTTGAGAGCAACACAGGTTCCCTGTCATTTCTCAAATGCAGTGGTGTGCTTTTTCCCTTGAGCCTGTCACCCTAAAAGGTACAGATTTTTAAAGCATGAAATGCACCGCTGCTCCAGTGTATATTGAATAGAGTGAACTCCAGACATGCTTATTTTTTGTTTTCTGAGTATAACAATTGGAACATAATATCCCTCTCCCCACACTACTCCCCCTCCCCAAATAAACCAAAGCATTAGATAAAATTGGTAGCACTGAAATTGAGGATATCTAAAAACAGCAACCTATAACCTTGGGGATTTTGAGTGATATAAATACAATGGCTGAGAACATTTTTAACCACAGAATTTTTGCCTATTATACTTAGACACTTGCAAGGTTGTTGAGTTGCTCTTCTTGTAACCCATATGAAAATGCTTATATTCGGGAACTACACAATTCACATTCCAGGACTTTCTCACTCCCCCCAATGAGTCCATATTTGTAACCAACTTGTAATGTCTGGTTCAATTCCCAACCAAACAAGCAAATACACTTTCTGAAGAGCGATAGCAATTCTATACCCGTTTGTTTACAAATTGTCTGACAATGAGTCAGAAGCCTACACATTTTTTTTTTGTATATAACTCTTCCCAAATTGATTTAGCAATCTGGAATAATTTCCTGTCTTTCCTTCCATCTTTATAACCTAAGCAACGTGACGTTAATGCTTTCAGTCCTTCTGCCTGATATGCAAGTGACATCGTGTGTTTCACAGAGAAAATAATGCCTTCTCTATGCCATTAAATTGTACTGACTTATCACAAAAACCTGGTTTTTGGTTATATCATCACTCAAAATGTTGCCTGTGCCTGGGGAAACGGGTACTCCAATTAGCAGTAAATCAAAGTTCTTTCTCTCTGATGCAAGAGGACTGTGAAATAAATTGTGATGGGTGAGCTGTATCAGCAAGCACCAGTGATTAGGAGGATTGGCTGACAAGTCTATTAAGACTTCTCCAAAGGAAACCACACCCATTAAAGGACTAGGAACTACATTTTTTTGTGGTTTTACTGTTGATCTCTGTTTCCTTATACAGAGTTCACTATAATTTA